CACTACTCTCTCTCTCTCACACACACACACACACTCACTCTCACACACACACACACACACACACACACACACACACACACACACACACACACACACACACACACACACACACAAACACTCTCTCTCTCTCACACAGGCATTCACTCTCTCTCTCTCTCTCTCCACAGGTATGTTCCTGCACACGAGCTGGTTCAGCTCGCATCATAACTTCGCCGGCATGCTCGGCTTCATCGAATACCTGACGACGCTTCCCGACGTTTGGATCCTCAACGTCGGACAGGCGATCTCGTTGGCGCAGCATCCCACAGCAGTCGGCAGCGTGCACGGACTCGCCGAGTGGGATTGCAAGAAGTTGAGCCGACCGACTTTGCGCTGCGAGAAGCCCAATATATGTCCCTACACGTTCGGCGACGGAGAGGCACGCTACATATCGACGTGTAGCACCTGTCCGGTGAACTACCCGTGGGTGGGAAACCCCGGGGGAAACTAGGTTACTCCACTTACCCGTGGGTAACTAGGGAAACTGTGAGGAAACCAGGTTTCACTAATAACCCGTGGGTGGGAAACCCGGGGTAGGCGGGAAACTAGGGGTCTTTCTCACCTAACCTTAGGATCCGGGTCCGGTATTGCAGTCCCATTTCGATCCGGTATTCCGGCTCGAAGATTATGCGTCTTTTTACTTTGCTTGCGTTGATTGCTTTGTTTTTTTTATCGCCCGAGATGGGTTGGGAACGCTGCGAAACGCGGTTACGCATTTCATTTCTATGTATTTCGATTACTAGTCTGTGCGTTATTACTTCCGCCAAGGGGTTGGCAGGAGGTTATGTTTTCACCGGCGTGTGTTTGTTGGTTTGTGGGTTTGTGCGTTTGTTTGTTTGTGTACAGCCTAACTGAAAAAGATATGGACGGATTGTCATAAAATTTTCAGGATAGGTCAGAAATGGGCTAACTTAGAATTGATTACATTTTGGTGGTGATCCGTATCCAATTATTTAATTAATTAATTAATTAATTAATAAAAATTTTCACAGTGAGAGAACTGAGCTGCCTTGGCGGAGGTCTGCGCTTTCCGAGTGCTCTAGTTGTTTTTATTATTTGCTTCGGTTGCGACCCAGTCTTACGGGGGCCAATCTCGGATATGCGTTCTTTTATTTATCGTATTTTTTACGTGGCAAGCTTTACTCCTCGCGGGGCTGCGAAAAGTTATTATCGATGGTTTGTTTGTGAGACTTTGTGCTTTTACTAGCCGGGCGAGATAAATATTTGTGAAAATATTTGTTGAAAACGTTATCGATCAATGATGAAGCGCGTGTGTTGTGATTTGCGGTGCGAGTGGAAACCGATATATGGCTTATAATACTAAAAGCATATGGTGATATTTACCTAGCACTATTCGTGTTGCGTGTATTAATCTCACTTGATGTGGAAAAAAACACAAGAATATCAATAAAACATTAATACACCAAAATCATACGATGGAATGAAAATGATATATTGTTAATTAATTTAGACTGCGGATAATTTATAACAGCGGAATGACCCCAAATGGACAACAGAACACACTACATACTCTTAGCGTTACTAACCAAACAATCAAAACAACATGGCTTCATATTAAAACTTTCTATCCAGTAAAAGAAGTGACTTCGTGAAGTAAAGGGGGCAGCATTGCCTAGATTTTGGAGGAAAACAATATAACAAATAATAATGAAACAATGACATATATTTCTAATACTGCCTAATATTACCCTACATTTTACGGCCTAAAATTGCTAAACCCTGAAAGGTAGATTTAGAATGAGAATAACGATTGCAAATAAGTTTACTTCCCAGATATCAAATTCAAATTCCACGGTTATCATGAAATATTAGCAAAAAAACGATTTCGCACCAACATATATGATATCTCGTTAACATTTTTATATTTGCCTACTACGGAGAGTGCGCTAAACTACAGGTGTATTATTTTAACGGAGTTATATATATGTATATCAGGATGTAGGCATATATATACATGTTTCCAGGAGTAGATAAAGACAAATCGTCTTTATCTACTCCTGATGTTTCGTTTAGCAGCATACAATATTTCTCATGTGCGACACTAGCGCCGACCAACGGCAATGAAAAATGTACGAAATCGAGATGTTGAAAAGATTGGGCGTCCTAGTTCTTATCATATGATCCAAGCAGTGCGTTTTTTTAATAGGGAACTGTTTCTGGGTCTGTAATTTCAATATAAATTTTAATATTTCTATACTAATTCTTATACTTCAAACATAAATTTCGAACAAAGTGTGATTTCAGTTAGCAGATAATAGGCGTGCATGTGCACAGATACGAAGAACCCTATAGTCCATTACGCGCTTTAATGAGCTTTTAGGAAGATTTGCTGCTTTACAATTAATGGAGTGAGCCGTGATGGTCACCGCACCCCCTCAAGCCTTGACAGTGACAACGACGAGCCGCCCACGTTTAAATGTCTAGATCTGAATCGCACGTACCTTTGCCCCGTCAGGCAGAGTGAGTTAACTCTGGTCCTGAACATTGTGCTAGATATATTAATTAGAGCAAGCTAATGACATGTAAACAACATCCCGAACTTTCTCACGCGTATTTAGAATCTATATTGGACGCCATCTTAATAAAACTAGAAATCTACAGAGAGACTATAGCTGTTGTTTATTTAGTTTCATTTGTTTTAATTTTATCAGCATTGTCTATTAATTTGTTTAACTAATATGTTACCTCTAAAATGTCATTCATAAGTGTAAATAAAATAAATTGAATTGAATTGAACTGAATTGAATGAAACTGTGACACGACGCCATCTTGTCTTGCATGACTTTCGCAGTGAGAAACAAACAGCTGCATTTGTTGTCTGCCGGCTGATAATTCTTCGTTGGCGAAACGAGATACTCGTGTGTAACCTCTCATAATATTTGCATTTTATATAGGCCATCGTCACCCTCGCTATTAGATTGAGGTTAAATACCGCAGAGTCCGTCCACTGCATCCTCATCTGCATACCTGCGTATTTATAAGGGCCATCACAACGCAGCCGTATCGCCAAAATCAAAAGAGAAATATCGCCGTAAGCGGTTCGAGTTCGCTATACGATTTCCAGAGTTTTTTCAGAGTTGATCTGTAAGGATTTAGCAACGATGAGGTGCGCGGTGTCTCTACTGCTGCTGCTGTCTCTGCTCTCGCTGTCGCACGGCTACAGAGAGCCGGGGGATGAGGCCGACTGGTGTGATTATGAGCAGTGCAAGCTGCCGGACTGTCGGTGTAGCGGCACCGACATCCCGGGCGGACTGCCCGTCCACCAGATCCCGCAGATTGTAATGGTCAGCTTTGATGATGCCGTACAGGACAGATGGAAGGCGGACGTAGAAAACGTGTTGTCAGATCAGTGAGTATATTCCTTCCTATATACCCTCACGTAAACGCGGGCTGTGAGGTGTGTACATGAACGGGAGAGAAACCATAGACGTAATTTGGTATTTAAAAAATAGCTGGTCATCCATTAGTTTGTTATTTTATAATATGTTGTATTATATTATATTATATTATATTGTATTATATTATATTATATTATATTATATTATATTATATTATATTATATTATATTAATTATAGTATATTAATTATATTATATTATAGTATATTATATTATATTAAATTCTCGTTATATTATATTATATTTATATTATATTTATATGTATATTTCATATTATACTTATATTATAGTATATTATAATTATATTATAATTATTAGTTATATTATTATTATATTATATTATATTATATTATTATATTGATATTAATTATATTATATTATATTATTATTATATTATATTATATTATATTATATTATATTATATTATATTCCATTATATTATATTATATTTTTTATTTAGTTATTTTGTTATTTTGTTATTGGTTGAATTGCGCGAAACGTTTGAATATATCTTATATGTATTTCCTCTCTTTTAGTAAGAATCCTAACGGATGTCCCGTAGGTGCTACGTTCTTCGTTTCCCACGAGTACACGAGTTACCAGCTGGTAGAGGAGTACTATAGCAAAGGATACGAAATCGCCTCGCACTCCATCTCGTAAGAAACCTTTTATCGTAATAACAAAATGTCAACAAAAACAGCAGTCGTTTACTAATTCGCGAATATTTCTAATTAATCTCTCGATGGGGTTTTATTGACGCATTATAATTACTTAGTGTTCGTAAAATCAGTCGCGGCGTTATTAATCTACTAGTTATTATATGGAATGTCTATTGTTTTATTTAAATACCATATAATAGCAGGTGATAATAAAAACAAACACGTGTTTTTTATTCACTCCTGATAATAGTTATCGTTGTCTTTAAATATCATAATAGTTATATAGCTGTACCAGCCTGCGGACGCATTTCTATAACAGATATTTGGTGTTTCGAACAGGCACTATTCTTATCAGGATTGGTGGAAGAATGCGAGCGAAGACGAGTGGCATGATGAGATCATTGGCATGCAGACGATCATTCACGAATTTGCCAACATTCCCACAGACGATATTCAGGGAATGAGAGCTCCCTTACTGCAAACAGGAGGGGACACCACCTACAAGTAAGTTAGCTAGATAGATCCTGTTTTTATATTACTGATCTTCTATGGCTTCAAATTTATCTGCTACGCTGAGGTTAGCACTAGACACGTAATTACCTTAGCTGAATACTAGCTAATAATTTAATTAAAATTAATATTTTCTCGCCTGATTAATTAATTATTTCTAGCCTGATATTCATGTGGCATAAATATAATTAAATATAATAAAATCTACATCTTTGCAAGTCAGTGATTATACCTACACAGAACGCATTTATCGAAAGATTATAATTCAAACATGACACGTTTAAATATAGACGAAGAGCAGCATGTGAAAGGAAGGCCATCAAATGGAAGCAGATAATCAATAGGTGCCGAATTATTGATTCGAATCGTCTTTTATTACTATCGTGACACAGGATGATGTACAATACTAACCTGAAGTATGATTCCACGATGCCCACTCGTCTCATCACCAACCCTCCGCTGTGGCCCTACTCTCTCGACTACAAGGAGAGCAAGGAATGTCAGATCGAACCCTGTCCCACTCAGTCGTGGCCGGGAACGTGGATCGTACGTATTTCACAGGCGAAAATATGAAGCAAAGAGTCATCACTTCTATTGCTTAAATCTGGGAATAATATTTCAATAAGAAGCGTACGTGAGACTAGACTCAGGTAAAAGTTTAAACGTTTGGTAACTGGAGTATTTTTCTGTTGCACTGTGATATATACGCAACTGTGTAAAAATCGTGTCCACCGGTAGTCCGGGCCCGGAATGAGCATAGTATACACCTTGCCCTTTCGTGTGCGCGTAAATGTTTCTTTTGTACCCTCAGCCATATGTTGCGCGGCGTATAGGCCTACGGGGCGGCTAACTACGGATATTCCTTTAGAAATTTAACGCAGTTATAAATTAACGTACCCAATTATATATTAATTATTTATTTGAATAATTAACGCAGATGCCGTTGGTGGACTACACGGACAAGAACGGAAATCCCTGCGCTATGGTTGACGCATGCGCATACTCCGTAGACGAAGAAGAAGCGTATTGGCTGCTGAAGAGCAACTTTGAGAGACATTACCAAACCAATAGAGGACCTTTCGGTACGCAAACCTGCGAACTCTGTTGAAGTATGACAACGAAAACAGTTCGAAGCCTCGAAAGCTTGTGTTTAAAATATAAGACACCGAACTTATATATATATATATAAGTTCGGTGTCTTATATTTTAAACACAAGCTTGATGTTGATAGATACGCTATAGATATATATATATAGATATATATAAGTCATTCATTGATTTAGAAATAATTGTAATAATTGTATGTTGTAACTTGTAGGTATCTTCATGCATATCAAGTGGTTCGCGTACCCACAAAATATCGCCGCTCTCACCCAGTTCATGTCCGAGCTGGCCGCCATGGACGACGTCTGGGTAGTCAACGTCGGACAGGCGCTAGAGTGGGTTCAGAAGCCGACGAAGCTATCAAACATCTTCAACTTCGAGCCGTGGGGTTGCGAGGCAAAGCCGCCGGCGCGCTGCACCCAGGCGCAGGCGAAATGGTGTCACTATCTGCTGGGTGATGGTCAGGAGCGGTACATGCAGACGTGCAACACCGAATGCCCGCCGAATTACCCGTGGGTGGGGAACCCCACGGGCGAATAAAGATCATCCAGTGATCCCACAACCGCATACCTCACCGTACAAATAAACGATGTTTTTTTAATTCTGAAATTTTCGGCGTCGTCCATTGTTGATCGGTGCATCACTGCATGGCGATGTCACTGCGCATGCGTGGCACTATAACGATAACGCGTGCATTAAATGAACGAGCTATTATGAATAATTGTTTGATTTGATTTCTGCTCTTCCATTCTCTGATACCTCGCGAGCGATAGAACGATCACGACGGCAGATTATTACGCCAAATTCTTAATGATGAATACGTTTAACTGAGAGAATTGCTAGAAGGATTGGTTAAGATTTCACTACGAGGGTTGGGTCATTCGCAGCAAGGTTACGCGATGGTTGAATACTGTTAAACGTCTATGATAAATTATTAAAATATCCTGCAATATAAAACAGATGCTCGTGTTGGTTATTTTTTACTTTCTTTTTAGACTCTTGCGAATTCTAATCTCACTTAGCCATTTCTCTCTCCCTTATACCACCTCTCTCTCTCTCTCTCTCTCTCTCTTTTTGACTCTCTCTCTTTCTCTCTCTTTCTCTCGCTCGCTCTCTCGCTCTCTCTCTTTCTCTCGATCTCTCTCTCGCGCGCTCTCTCTCTCTCTCTCTCTCTCGCTCTCTCTCTCTCTCTCTCTCTCTCTCTCTCTCTCTCTCTCTCTCTCTCTCGCTCTCTTTCTCTCTCTCTCTCTCTCTCTCTCTCTCTCGCTAGCCCTCTCTCGTCCTCCTCTCTTCATTATTCACTCGTTACTTGCGTGTGTGCGCGTTCGCCGGCGTATGAGCGGCTGACATAAGAACGATCTGTTGATAATTACGGCAATATAAAATTATGCAGACAATATATACTTCTAATCTGCCGTGCCCATGTGTCAAGCAGGGTACACTACAGTAAATAATTGACATGGAAGACGGACTCGATTGCTTACATTAAATAATGGAGAATAAAAAACAATAACGAAAAAAATAGAAACATATCTAGCTTGGCTACTGAGCTGTGTATAATAACGTATTTAACATATATAGCGTAATATAATATCATTCTTCGTACACGCATGCGTGAAACGAGTACGTTTCGCTATAAAATTTCAATATAATGTACAAATAAATTAATCTATGCGAAGCAATCAATGTAAAAACGAGTATCATATACGCTCATCACCTCTCGTAGCTATCCTAATTTTTTACGTACATTTGCCAAGAATTAATAGTAACTGACGTACTGTCTTAATAAATTGGTTACAGATGTTAGCTGTCCCGGATGTTAGACAAGCGGAGTCCCGGATGTTAGACAGCTGAAGTCTCAGATGTCAAACAACCGTAGTCCCGAAATATAGACAGGTGGAGTCCCGGATGTAGTCGGATGCTGATCTGTCCTCGGTATCTTATCCGCGGCTGTACAACACGCGTTACGGCACACGCGGCAAAAGTCATGTGCCAACATAGCGAACAGATAGGAACCACATCCCGATGGCGCGTTTCCCACGCACGACCATGACCCGACTGAACACACGTCCGATGACAAACAAACAAACAAACAAACAAATAAAGAAATGAATAAATAAACAAGCGCGTGCCTTCACTCGCCCTCGTCGCATTCCGCGGCTTTGCGGAATAGAAAAAGACCAAAATAATAGTATAAGGATAAAGATAACAGGTTATCTAATTACTCAATCGGTTTGCGGACGACGCGCATCTGAGGAATGGAAATGCCTACCGTACTACGTAGAAAAAACTTTAGTAGAGTTGTTTTCGATCGGTTCGTATAAGAGTATGAGACAATACGTTGGGCTGTCCACAGTAGAATGTTGTTTACACGAGGGTTACTATTGGCTGGCGGACAAATATCGCTGCTAAAAGTTATGGATCCTATTCTTGCTCTGGTTTCCAGTATGCGTCGAATCTGTAATCTAGGAGGTACGAGATTTTACAGGGTTAAGGACACACACACACACATACACACGTGACACATACATATATATATATATATATATATATATGTATACATACATTCTAATTAATAATAATTAACTAATAATTTATTATATATATATATATACATAAATAGTAAATTATGTTTACCTAAATGTGGTTGACTCTATTTTACCGCGAATATCACGTAGATTCCACGAACAAGTGGGACGGTTTTCATCATGGCGTCACCAGCGTGACACCATTCTGCTAATAAGAAGTCAGATCGAGTAAGCCAGATCATGCCAGATCGAGTCAGTCAGATCGTATAAACAACATGCGACATTTGCCAACCTACATCCCACATTGACAACGCTGTTTGCAACTAGATTCTAGTGGGGAAGGAACAGCTGTGTCGTCTGCAATTGATAACGTGCTAGCGGATTTTAGAACCGATACCCCATCAATATTTACTTTTTTGGCAGTTCGCACGCCGGCATTACGATTGGACGAGTGTGGGCGAGACAAACAACACCGGCCGCCCACACACCGTCTTCCCGTATATATAAGACCGCAGGGACTTAACTCTCCGTTTTATCTAAGGAAAAACGCTAGGCGGTTCAAGTTGTCTTTCGATTAGGTCTTCTGTTAGGAAGGATCCATCAACCACGATGAGGTGCGCGGTGTCTCTACTGCTGCTGCTGTCTTTGCTCTCGTTGTCGCACGGCTACAGAGAGCCGGGAGAGGAGGCCGACTGGTGTGATTATGAGCAGTGCAAGCTGCCGGACTGTCGGTGTAGCGACACCGACATCCCGGGCGGACTGCCCGTCCACCAGATCCCGCAGATTGTAATGGTCAGCTTTGATGATGCCGTACAGGACAGATGGAAGGCGGACGTAGGAAACGTGTTGTCAGATCAGTGAGTATTCCTTCATCACTCAACATCGTCACGATCACATAGTAGAGTAGTAACCTTTTATTATAGCAATCATAGTTGTAAGGTATACATGAATGGCCGATATAGCGCGAGGTAAATATCTACAATATTATTGTCTTCCCAACGTACTTTAATATTTACGTATTTAATAGGAAACGGGTGAGTATAGATGCTTGGATGAATGCGGCATAAAACGGTAAAATATTTTACTCGTCTTGTTTTCTCCTTTTTTCAGTAAGAATCCTAACGGATGTCCCCTAGGTGCTACGTTCTTCGCTTCCCACGAGTACACGAGTTACCAGACGGTAGAGGAGTACTATAGCAAAGGATACGAAATCGCCTCGCACTCCATCTCGTAAGGAAAATCCCATTCTGTTAAATTAATTTTAATTATTGGTGTTTGATTTACCGATGCGTCATTATTAACATACGTATATGTCAGTTAGTTACGGTAGTCGTTAATTTATAATTATTTCCAATCAATTTCATTCCTAATTTTATTCATGCTTCTATTTCTTGCAGATTCGTAGTAGAGCATCAAATGTTCCTATCATATTTTTGTAACAATTTTATTTATTATAAACTATGCACAGTGTGACACTATGTAACTATATGTAATGCTGAAGATGGCGTTTTATTTCACTGACGATATACGATTCCTCGCACAGACACATTCCTTATCAGGAACTTCTCATCACAATCCTTATCTGTTTTTATTCATTCCTGATAATAGTTATCGTTGCGTTTAAATATAATAATAACAGGCATGAATAATAATAGATTATGATTATAATAATTATTCACTCCTGATAATAATTATAGTTGTTACAACAGCCCGCGCGGTCGCATTCCTATAAGAGATATATTGCGTTTCGAACAGGCACACTCCTTACCAAGATTGGTGGAAGAATGCCAACGAAACACAGTGGCATGATGAGATCATTGGCATGCAGACGATCATTCACGAATTCGCCAACATTCCCACAGACGATATTCAGGGAATGAGAGCTCCCTTACTGCAAACAGCTGGCGACACCACCTACAAGTAAGTTAGCTAGATAAATCCACATCATAGATCTTTCTCGATCGTTATTATTTGACATCTTCGATCTGTTTTGAGATCAATATGAGCAGTCGTAGAAGTAAAATGATGAACAAAACCGACAATCAAATTTATATGCCTTGAAACTGTTCTTCGATACAAAAACTTATAGAGATTCAAACTGAGTTACATTCCCTCGCATAATTTGCATTCGGTTCCACATAAATCTAGCTCTCCGAAGAGCGATTCTACCGTACACTGACTGGTCGATTGCAATTTCGAAGCTAAATTATAAATACTCGATGCTTATCGATTATAATCGATATTTTTCACTATCGTGACGCAGGATGATGACAAATAACAATCTGAAGTATGATTCCACGATGCCCACACGTCGGTTCACCGACCCTCCGCTGTGGCCCTACACTCTCGACTACAAAGAGAGTAAAGACTGTCAGATCGAACCCTGTCCCGTAGAATCATGGCCCGGAGCGTGGATCGTACGTATTTCAATTTTTCTGCGGAAATATTTTATGACGATATTTTATTCATATGTGGTCCTGTGTGACAACATCCATTTCTTAGAGTCGCGTTTGTTATGTCTGATCGGATTTAGCAATTGAAGATTTAATACTTTAAGACGCAAAATCATTAAATACGTAGTTGTTAGATGATTATATAGCATAAACAAATGTTCTCAGGTGCCTTTGGTGGATTATACAGACAAGTTGGGAAATCCCTGCGCTATGGTTGACGCATGCGCACACTCTAATAACGAGGAGGAAGCCTATTGGCTGTTTAAGAGCAACTTCGACAGACATTATTATTCCAACAAGGCTCCTTTCGGTAAGGAATCTATCTCACGATTCTCACCCACTCACTCTCCTCCTCCTTGTCCTCTTCGTCGTCTTCCTCCTCATACTCCTCCCCGCCCCCTCTCTCTCTCTCTCTATCTATCTATCTATCTATCTATCTATATGTCGCACTCACTCACTCACTCACTCACTCACTCACTCACTCACTCGCTCGCTCGCTCACTTTCCCAATCTCCTTCTCTCTACTTTTCTCTCTCCGTCTGTGTGTTTGTGTGGGGAGACGTGCGTGCGTGCGTGCGTGCGTGCGTGCGTGCGTGCGTGCGTGCGCGAATGAACTTGTACGTATGCACGCATGTTTATACGTAAGACAGCACGTTCTTGTGCGTGGCCTGTGGTAGCCAACGCAACGCAACCAAACACACTGAATCAGTTCTGTCAGTGTTAACGTATAACACAATCACCTCCACCGCCACCACCTCACACACATTTCTTACGTCTGTACGTACACGCAGGTATCTTCATGCACACTCAGTGGTTCGCGTACCCGCAGAACGTCGCCGGTCTGACCTTGTTCATGAAGGAGATCGTGGATAAGGACGACGTCTGGATAATCAACGTCGGACAGGCGATCGAGTGGATTCAGAAGCCGACGAAGCTATCGAGCATCTTCAATTTCGCGCCGTGGAGTTGCGAGGCAAAGCCGCCGGCGCGCTGCACCCAGGCGCAGGCGAAATGGTGTCGGTACGTGCTGGACGACGGACAGGAGCGGTACATGCAGACGTGCAACGAGAAATGCCCGCCGAATTATCCGTGGGTGGGGAACCCCAAGGGCGAATAAAGGTCATCCAGTGATTCTGCAACCGGACAGTAAACACCAAGTCGCGGTGAATGCTGAATACTGGGGCGTTTGACGGTTTCGTTTTTCGAGATAGTTTTTTAAAGGCGGATTATCGTGTTCGGGTGACGAGTTCATCGCAATAAATCCTTCATATTTCTAGATTACAAAAACGTTTTAACGGTTTAACTTTTTATTCGCGATTATCTCTCGCATTGATACTTCTAAACACGTTATGATGATAGCAATAAATTTATATTTATATGGTGAGACATTATTGCACATATCTATTATTATGTATATTATATCTATATATTTTTTTATTCTATAAATATAATATCATAGTCATGAAATAGGCTTCACCTTGCACTAACAGTTAACAAATCCGGAGCGAATATCCTAAATATTGAGGTCAAATGATTAAAAATTGTCAAATCACGCAAAAACGATATTAATTTTTATATAATTTACGCAATTTATTAAATCGATAAAAGTAAGAGAGAGAGAGAGAGAGAGAGAGAGAGAGAGAGAGAGAGAGAGTGAGAGAGCCTAAAGTTAATTTCTTCTCTTGATGTTAATTCGTACTTCTTACGCAGTCCGTCTTCGTTATAGTCCCCTTGAACTTGATACTAATATTTACGAGGTTACGAAGTACTTTTATCATGTCGGCCGACCGCGATTTCGTCCATTTTATTAAATTTATGCTTCTCAATGACAATCTCATTCTCGCAACCTATGCGATATAAATGCATACCTCTCATTCACACTCTGCGCGCGCTTAACTACTCAATGCGCAATAAATGTATAAAAGTGACATCGGGTCTCTTAATATGTTGTGTTAATTCGATTACTGTAAGGACTAGGTAATGCCGCTCATTGCCTGGCTTCCACAGCAAATCTGCAACTTGCAAACCTATCGAAATGATACGGCCTTTGACGTTGACACCACGCCGTGTTCAATGTCTTGTATATAACACACACACAATTTAAGACTTATTAGCGATGGCTAAGACAGATATCGGGAGATTATAAACTCTATAATTTCATACATTTTCGCTAACAACCGGGCGTAGCAAATATGCCAGTTCGTAGTTAGCAAAGGTTGTGTGGACGTCACAGGTCACCGGTCATTGTTGACAAAAATCGATGAAAACTCGAGAAGCGGGTGTGCGCCTCGGGTCAGTACGTATATGTGCATGTGTTCTGTGTACGTCTACACGCACGCATGCTTACGTGCACGCACACCACGCGGCGCCACGCACGGCACGCACCTGTACGTGCACACGCACGGCACGAACGCATCTGTACGTGCACACGCACGCACGCACGTGTACGTGCACACGCACGCACACCCACACGCATGTACGTGACACACGCACGCACGCACGTGTACGTGCACACGCACGCACACACACACGCATGTGTACGTGCACACGCACGCACGCACGCACGCATGCACGTGTACGTGCAAAAGCACGCACGCACGCACGCATGCACGTGTAAGTGCTCACGCACGCACGCACGCACGCACGCACGTGTACGTGCACACGCACGCACACACGCACGCACACACGTGTACGTGCACACCACGCACGCACGCACGAACGTGTACGTGCAAGCACGCCACGCACGCACGTGTACGTGCACAGCGTGAAGACTGTAGGCATTACAACGACACAGATGCATGCGTATGCCGCATTGGCGTACTGTGCGTCGAAATACGAAATATTTTGTCACAACAAGATACCTGACCCGGAAGAATTCGCGCAATGTTCGGCGCAATGCGCAGACTGTAACGAGCAACAGCTTATTACATTATCGTCTGCTTATGTTTACCCGCGGATGCTCTGTGCATTGTTAGAGTCGCTGCGTTCGTTGGTCTAGGCGCGCCGCCTACGCGGAGAACAGTGCGGTCTCGCCATACAGGACGCTGACGCAGCTCCCACAAAATCCCGATACATAAGTCTCCATCCCTACTGCGACGCGACAGGAAGCATAGGCATGGATCATAGAAATATATAGAGACACTACCGTAGTAATTACTATGATTAGGATAAACAACAATAGGCCTATATTTAGGCCTATATTATCGGCGAGCAAAGCCCTGAGAGTTGGCAATACAAACGCGTAACGTGATCGTGAACGCGTGTGTACACAATACTTAGCGTAAACATATGTGGAAACGGGAAACCTATCTATAAAAGATACTGTACGTGACAGTTATCACAGCAAAACGCATCTCTATAGAACGAACACATGTCTAGGTATACACGGAACACTTTCGCCGTTTCTTTCGAGTATCGTCATATACAATTAACCACCCTAGAGAGCGGACATCAGTGTGTGGACCCCCTATATATATATATATATAGGCAGTCTAACATCTAAGATCCATGTCTAATATCAGTGGACACACTACCTCGAGCCAAGCTGACTTGTGTATGCACGGAAATCCACACATGTTCCCTTCCGCCGCCCCATCACCGACACAACAGTTCTTGTAAGCCCTGTATGCGTGCAATATAGGCAATACATCATAATCAGTAATATATAACAGTAATACAAAATCAGTAAGACAAAATAAGCGCGCCATATTTAAAAAGGATATGCGCACTTTGTTCAAGTATAAACAAATAATATTCGACATGCGAGGGAATGCGTACGACCGCAGCGTCTGGCAGCAAAATGAGCATCTTGTTCTGTTGCGCTTCTGCTAACCGAGTAAAATAAATAAATAAATTAGGTAATATATTGAAATAAATACAATATATATATATAGAGAGACGAGATTCAATGGTTGTTTATGAACTCGTGTGTCGAGAGTGCTCAATACTACCATGAGTAGAGGCAAATATAGGATAAAGTATACGAACAGCGGTTGTACTTTTTGCCTCGTTTATTGCATACAGAGCCTGTTCGTATGAAGCGAAGGCTCCATACTCATCAGTGCCTAATACAGAGTGTATTACTGACTCTGTATTAGGCACTGATGAGTATCCATACGAAACAGCTCTGTATGCAATAAACAAAGGCAAAAGTACAACCGTGTCGCGTATAACTTTTATCAATATATAATATATTATATATATATATATATCTATATATATATATATATACGTACATGATATGTACGTCGCACGCTAGTATGTAGGCGGCAGGCGTCACCTTTGACCAAGACTCACCTTGACATCTCCCGTTTGTCGACCGAGAGTGCATCGTCGTCGGCTCCGTACACGGAGCCGCTGACGTTGGCCGCCGCATGCTTGACGCTCACACACACGGTGACAACCAACACGAGCAGCACTCTGAAGATGACAGCTGCTATGCGCCCGACCTTCATTCTACGCGCCAATAAACGCCAAAATTACACATACATAGGGTGTGTAATATTTTCCTCGTAAAAGAGTCTATAATAGAAAATTATTTTCTATTATAGACTCTTGATACATATATCGTCTTATATTGTGTTTTTTTCGTCGTCTTGCCCCTCCTCTATCTCTCTGCCTCATTCTCTGTATCTCTGTATCTCTCCCTCTCTGCTTCATCTCTTCTGCTCTCTGTCTCTTCTCTCTCCTCTCTGTCTCTCTCTCCCTCTCTGTCTCTCTCTCCCTCTCTGTCTCTCTCTCGCTCCTCTCTCTCTCTCTCTCTCTCTCTCTCTCTCTCTCTCTCTCTCTCTCTCTTACTCACTCACTCTTTATCTTTCGCGCGCTCTCTCTCTCGTTATTGCTATCATTTTCAATTCGATATAACCTTCAACGGTTCTAAGCTACAAGCTTACAATATGAGATCTGGAGCGCGTTTCCACACACCTAGAGCCGCCGCCTACACTCGCGAAACAGCGAGCGTCACGCTGCATCTTGTACTTACCTCTCCCGGTATTCCGCAGAACACAATATATGATATACGAGTATAATATATGTGTAAAATCCTCGCTTCCTTGGTAGAGGCTTGTGTTCGGTAGCGACACACGCACGCACGCACACGCACGTACACACACGGTCTCGCTGAGTGTAGCGAGGGATAGGGATGTGCGTCTTCACGAGTCTTTAAAGCGATCGTCACTTGACGTGCATGCCGTATACCTGGTTCGCGAGCTAATGTCCGCCTACGACATCCTCGGACTTCTTATATACGCCTCCCCCCGTGCACGCACGCCCCCACGGTTCCTCTGAGCGGCAGAGATGCGAGAAGCGACCGGTGGGAAGGATAGGAGGGAGAAAGAGAGAGAGAGAGATAGCAAGAGAGAAAGAGAAAGAGAAAGAACGAGCGAGCGAGAGAGAGCGAGATAGATAGAAAGAGAGAGAGAGAGAGAGAGAGAGAGAGAGAGAGAAAGAGAGAAAGCGAGAGCGAAATAGCGAGAGAGAAAAAGAAAGAGAAAGAAGCGGCGTCGATATTCAGGGTGACGCACCTGCGACCGTGCCGCTGAGTCACGCCCACGTCGTCTGCCGATGATTTACGGCAGCCGTGCCGTCGGCGTGTCAGCAGCCGCTAATCCACTGGTCGGCTTCACGCCGAGGTCTAGTTAAACCGCAGGGATAACACGCGACATCCTAATCGCTCTCCGGCATGCCGGACACGTGTTCTCTCTCTCTCTCTCGCGCGCGCTCTCTCTCTCTCCTCTCCTCTCTCTCTCTCTCGCGCGCGCTCTCTCTCTTTCTCTCGCTCGTTCTCTCCCTGTGTGTGTACCTCTTACACACACACAGGGAGAGAGCGAGAGAGAGAGAGTGAGAGAGAGAAAGAGAGAGAGAGCGCGCTATTCTATTCACAAAGCACTATTCTTATATGACAAACAAGCAAAACAATTCCAACGAGAATACGCGTGACACGTACTATCAGTCCTGGTACTATCCATGACGGGTACATGATCGCGTGCTCGTTCTGCTGCAGGCGGGGGTGTTGCCATGGTAACGCCAAGGACGCCGGATTACGTAACTCGGCGACGAGATGACGCGCACAGTGAGATGAGAGATTCTAAACGAGAAAAATTAATGCGTAAATAAAAC